CAATCTTTCATCCACTTCAGTACAAACTGCGTTCCATGGAACTGCCATCTCTCTGACACAGCATGTTACGAATGTATGTGCAGGCACAGAGCTCCAGAACAAACCTCTCATCGACAAGGACACACCAAGGACAAAGAAGATCAAGCCAATCACGGAGTCGTAAAGTACTGTCCCGCCAGCTGCATTCCCAACCGATAACCCTATACAATGCAAGACAGAGGGACAAGCGGTCCCCAAAACGTCTCCAGTCAACTCAGATGAGCTGTAGCTCTCATGGGCACAGGCAGTTGAGAAGCTGTTGGAAAAACCTGAACTGAAATCAGAAGCTTAAGATAACATCTCTTGGCCTGCACATTTTGCAGCTTCACAAGATTCCTGCCCCAGACCACCGGCGATATCTGGGCTCATGCCATTATTCCGTGATAATGCACAATCTTTGGCGATGGTAAAGCATGGCATGGATGTAATTGCTAAAGCTACCGATCATGTGCATCCTGGACAAGGATTGACTGTTGATCAGCCGCTGTATGCCATCGCCAGTGGATCTGGCCAGCTGCCTATGGCAAAGACAAGTATCTGGTGATGATGGGTGGATTGCATATAGAATGGCGCTCCTGAATGTTCTAGGAGATTGCCTAGATGGCAGTGGATGGTTGGTTGTACTGACGACTGCGAACGTTACCACCGATGGTAGGGCTGATGCTCTTAGAAAGGGATCATTAACGGCACGTTCTCAGTGGGCTCATCAAGTAATAGCTGCTGCACTGTTTTGTTTACACAGCCAAGTCTACAGTTCATACAAAGTAGAAGCAGAGGCAGACGCGAAGCCTGTGATGCCATTCGAAAACTGGTGCACACACATGGAGACGCATCATCCGCAGTTTCGGTACTGGAACAAAACCTTCAAACTTCTCTTCCTCCATTTCATGCAATCACAGTGTAAAGGAAACTTTGAGCTCTACATTGGCACACTAGGAAAAATTGGGCCATGGATGTTTGCCATGGTTCACTTCCACTATGCGAGGCAGTTGTCTGTTCACGTGTGGTTACAGTGTGAATGTCCAGCAGTGTGCAATGAGTTTAAAAAAAGAACACTTTGTGACACAGAAAACAACTCATCGCTTCTCCATGATGGCTCCTAACCATGTACACGAGCAGCTCAATGCTGTGTTGGATGGGGATGGTGGAATAATCGGCATCACTGAAAATGAAGAAGCCCTCATGCGGTGGATGATTGCAGGTCCGGAGATGGCCAGGATAATACATGAGGTTGAAGTGAGCACATCTCAGAAGACAACCCACAATGATCGACACCATAAGCAAACTCTGACCACACAAAAAAAAATGCAATAAATGTCCAAAGCATGATAGATGTTCTACATGAATTGTGTAAACCCATCACAGAAAAGAGCGCTGATCTCCTCACACTCGACACGAAGGTCATCATGTCTGATCAAGTCGTCCAGAACTTCTCAGAAGCCGAGGAATTAGGTAGGACTCAGTACAACATGATTTGCGAGTTGGGAAGATGGAGAAGCCTTTCAATGACACTATTCCAAAAAAATAACCTCCAGTTGATCAAGTCAGGAGAACGGAACGTCTCCTCAAAGATAAAGTCCAAAATGTCCAACATGAAGAGCGACCTGCAGCTATTTTCGCGAATGTAATCTCTTGTCAAGCACGAAATGGTGAAATGGGCGTATTCTTCCAGCATACAAACCACTCTTGGCCACCGTCGCTGGCTGAAAACAACATGATGCGTCTCGGAGAAAAATCTGACTTGCTAAAGTGTCTGGAACCACTAGCACCACGTCCACAGACCACACCTACTGTGGACGTGAAGATCTTTGATGGTGCTGCCCTTGTCCACACGTTCGATGCGAAGACTGCCACAACAAATGTGAAAACGTTCAAAGACTATGCAGAGTATGTATTTATCTCGTATCTGAAGAGGCAGTTTGTACATGCTACACGGGTAGATGTTGTATGGGATACCTACATGGCTGACAGTCTGAAAGCGCACCCCAGAGAGGACCGAGGAACAGGAGAAGCTTTTCGTGTGTCTGAGACAACACGACTTCCACACAACTGGAAAAGTTGCTTGCACGTCAACATCAACAAGACAGAACTCTTCAAGTTTCTAGTCACAGTTATTGAATTTGAAGCAACAGCAACAGGGAAGATACTGATCACAACAAAGGGTCAGAGTGAAACCTCATCCACAAAACTAGATGCTTCTGACCTACAGCCATGCTCACACGAAGAGTCAGACTACCGAATGATGCTCCATTGTCTCCATGCGTACAAACATGGCATGAAGAAGATAATGTTATATGCCACAGCGCGGACGTACTGATTCTTGCCATTGCGACTGCAATTGACATGGAAGATTGTGAACTTTGGTTAGCTTTCGGACATGGTGCCCATTTCCGTTACATTGGAGATCATATTGTTGCCAGTGAGATGGGCAATGATTACTGCAGAGGCTTGCCATTCATGCATGCATTGTCAGGCTATGACACGGTGTCGTCATGCTGCTCCATCGGTAAGAAGACAGCCTGGAAAGTATGGAAGTCACATCCTCAAATCAACGACGTATTTCATCAGTTGTCAGATACGCCAGATGAGGTGACAGACGCTGACATAAAAGAACTCGAGAGATATGTGGTCCTGCTCTACTCTTGCACATCACAGCTCACTGAAGTGAATGAAGCTAGGAAACAACTGTTCTCCTACGGTAATCGGAAGCTGGAGAACATCCTGCCGTCAAGTGCAGCACTGCTACAACATGTCAAGCGAGCGGCTTACCAAGCCGGACACATCTGGGGACATGCCCAAAGGCCAGTCCCCACTCTTCAAAGTCCTTCCGAGTGGGGATGGAAACTGGACAGCGAAGGAATCTGGCTGCCGTTATGGAGTACCCTCCCTGAAGCATTAGAGGGGTGCAGAGAACTCATCAAGTGTGCCTGCAAGAAACGCTTCACAAGACGATGCCAATGCTCCAAAGCCAGTCTCCCCTGCACAAAGCTCTGCTTTTGTGGTGGACAATGTACACCAAGGGCCATTGAGTGAAGGACCTCTTGCAGACATCGAGTGAATTTTCACTTGTTTTTTTTAGAATTAGGTGGAATCCAACAACTTTTAAGTTTATAGGTTGCTTGTATGGTAGCATCACGTCAGAAAAAACAACAATTTTGTTTGATTCTTGATTCTTTTCTTTTATATGTATTAGCGTCGTCATTCCCACAAAATATTTTCAAAATCTTATATAGTTGCAACAGTTTTATTCACAAGTGCCGATGACAGAAAAAAAGAAAGAAAAGTTATGTTTTATGTTCAATCTCAATTCTGAGATGGGAATCAAATTACAGTTGTGGAGAGATATCGAAATTCGTAAAATGGATGGCGGCCATTTTCTATCGTGTTTTAAACTATTTCATTGCATTCCTTGGCCCCGAAAACCTATTATTTGCCACCAAGATCATGTTTCTATTTGACGTCAAATAGATCCAAAGTTATGGCCATATATCAAAATTTGTAATATGGATGGTGGCCAACTTAGATTTCTCAATTTTGAGTGGGAATCATCGGTTTCCCAGCGTGGATCCCATTAAAATCGGATTCTGCGTACTCTAAAACCCCTATGTACACATTTTCATGCTTTCTTCCGGAAGTGAACATCTATTTGGCATTTCTGCCCAGCTACCCGCCTTCATGCTGGAAACACAGCGTATATCCAAGCTCCTCTCAGCGATGCCTCGTTCCTAGTGCTTTCGTGTATGTAAATAGCCGGGGGAAGCTCCTCCACAGCACTAGAATAAACTATATTCTGCATCCTCCGCCTTGTGTCACTGTAGCTTACATGGTTACAGGCTCCTTAAGTGCATCGTCAAAGGTAAAGTTTGATATGAGAGACGGAGCCCAGCGGCGGCAAAAGTAATTTAACTAGGGCAAACAAGTCTAACGGTCACCCACTATGTGACTTTGGGCTCGCTGCTCTCAGCTCTCGGTTCGGCGAGTCATGGCAACTTTCCAAAGTAAGAATATGTGCTGTAATAGTGGAGAGTATTGGTACCATTATTCCGTGCCGTGCCTATCATGCTTTATTTGGTGTTGTTTTTGTTTGATGTCAGTTTTCTAAGATATCTTATCATCCTCTTTTCAGGACCTTATGCTGATAACAATCAGCAAGCTAAAGGTTAAACCAGTCCTAACTGCACATTTGTACATTAAACATGTTTTTGTTAGTTGGGCACTATGATAAAAGGGGGACAAACTCTATGATATGAGTAATGAGTTAGATTTTAAAGAAACCATATGTTTGTCTCACACGTATAATGATATGGGTACATATGAAATGCATTAATCATAATGAAAATATTGTTTCAGCCCTAACTATAAATTATTATCCTTAACACGTTATCACTGTTATCAAGGGGGGCAGGCGTGAATGTTGACCTGGTTTTCCATGTAGCGAGATGTGAGGACTTTGTACAGCTTGAATAAATGACGCGTCAGGGAACAGGAGTAAACATACAGTAACATGATTCATGATTGTACCTAAGCTACGAACTCACAACATTATGGGTTTTAATTTGAACAATGTGTGCATGACAAATATTTACAGATACATTTTGAACCCCTCTGCTACCTCCAAAACTACCAAATTTCATTATTTTTTTGTAAAGTGTGAGAACCATGACACATGCATGTAACACATTGTAAAAATAAATCTACATGCAGCAATCTTTATGAGTAAAAAGTAATCTATCCCTTGTTTATGGTATATGTTGGATTTCGCCATTCTGTAACAACGGCACCAACAAACATAGTATGTTGTACTTCATGACGCTTCTGGGCTAGTTTTGTTATCTCAGTCACCAACATCGCGTCTATATTAGTATACACACTGAACTATTCGTTCTAAAATTTAACACGACAATAAATAGTCACATAGGGATGATTTACAAATAGGCTTGAATACGTCGACACTTACTTACTGTGTTGTATCATGGAGAAATGCGCGGACGAGCTCCGCCCCCTGTCAGCAGGTCAAGACAAATCTCAATGCAGCTAGTCCTAGCTCCCCACAGCGATGCCTCGTTCCCGGCGCTACCTCGTATTTAAATAGCGGAAGGAAGCTCCTCAACAGCACTAGCGTAGACTGTTTTCCGCATCCTTCTCCTAGCTGCTCTCCCAACCAAGAGAAGTGTTCGACACCACTCGTCCCTTTCCGTAACCTGCAATATTCGGCTTGTCCCGGAATAACAGGAGTTGGTCACGAATGCCAAGAGAAGGATATATATACTTGTTACCGTCTCACTGTGCGCTTCGTCAAATTGCTCCAATCTTATATTGTGGTAAATAATGAGATTAGAAGGTAAACCACCAGCATAGACGTTACTGATCACGCCTGCTATTCTTCTGAAGATACGTCAAAAATTAGACCTGACCTCACCGATCAACATAGCTTTCTGGTTAGCCTGTGTGGTGGGGTTTTTCACATTTTTTAAGAAAATCGACTCTGTTGCCCTCCAATGTGGAAAATCAAATCCCTGACAAGCAGTTGTGTATTCGTGACGTCACATGGTATAGTGATAAAGTGCTCTTAACAATTAGACATAGCAAAACTATCCAGTTTGGTCAAAGTATTCTGCAAATTCCCTTGTGTAATATGGCCGGCTCACTCTTGTGTCCATTAACAGTTTTACACTCTCTTCGCCAGGTCCAGAGCATAATACCGGTGACATGCCATGTGTTCTCATTCTGGACAAAGGTCGGGTTAACAGTGTGACTCACGAAATGTTTATCAAGGCGTTGCGCCGTGTGCTAGCGGCATGTGGGTTATCACCTCAAGATTACAGTGGACATTCCTTTCGGAGAGGAGGCTGTACTTTTGCTTGGATTATCAGCATACCACAAGTGCTGATAAAACTACACGGTGACTGGAAGTCAAACGTATTTGAGCGTTAAATCACATTGAAAAGGACTTGCACCGTAAATTCGCACGAGCTTTAGGTGTAGCAGCTATCTTAAAGTAAAAGAAAAGAAGACAAAAAGTATAGACTAGAGTATGACAACCGTTTTGGGGGATTTCGGTGTATTTTTACATTGTTTTAACACATAAATTATTTATTGTCAATGAAATATTGACCTATTCCCTCAAAACGGTTCTTTGTCTTTTCTACCAATGGACCACGGAGGCGGTACAGATAACGTGAGACGGCTCTCTGGAATCCTCCCCCATCCACTCGTTATTAGGAACCGCGTCCTGCAACAGGAGACAAAGTCAGTACCTCTCTGCGTTTGTACAGGGTGATCAATGTGTCTACAAAAAACATTTCTTAGAATGACTTTCAACAGTGGCAAGACACCCGCCATTAACTCCACCATCAGGGGCTGTAGTCAGCCTTGTTCTGCTTCAAAGACGACACGCAGCTCTATCCACAGGACCATGTAACTAATAATAATAATTCTTGCCATAGGACCACGTTACTACTAATAATAACAAACAAACTCACAGATTTTGTCGTAGTATGTGAGTTTGTTTGTTATTTTTATTAGTTACATTGTCCTTTGCTCTATCAAGGCAAACCACATCATGTGTAGAGTGAGTGAGTGAGTATGGTCGCAGGTTCTGTTTTATGTATAACCCATATTCTGCGATGGGGAATTTCCCCAATTTCCTGAGCATGACTACATGGAACCTGGGTTCCGTGTCCCTCAGCTGCGGCCGAACTGACGCCATCTGCCACCACTTACATGTAGTTCCCGATGGAGTCGACAAGATGACGACACACCTCTGGTCCTCCTTCAAGCCGCAGTCCTTCATTGCGAGATTGTGTCTTTGACCATCGTGGAAGTCTACAGTAAGAATGTGACTGTGACGCGTGGCAATCGCCGAGGCCAACATCGAGTTTGTGACTGTGACTCGTGGCAATCGCCGAGGCCAACATCGAGTTTGTGACTGTGTCTCATGGCAATCGCTGAGGCCTACATCGAGCCTGTGACTGTGACAAGCGGCCATCGTTGAGGCCTATAGTCAGATTATGACTGTGACTAGCGACCCTCGTGGAGGCCTACAGTCAGAATGAGACTGTGACTCGTGGCCATCGTTAAGGCATGCAGTCAGAATGGACTGGGACTCACCTACAAGAAGTCCCTCCTCTCTAACGATCCTGCGAGCCATCTGGAACGACTCCTTGTCTGCGCCTTGCACCATTTGTCCACAAACTGAGGGATATACACACACATATTACCAATACCGTTCACACCTTCAGTTGGATTAACTTTCCGATACTTCACATGTATAAATGCCGCTAAAGACTGATTACTTAACAGTAACATGATGTCACACTGCTGCATTCTTGACAATACAATATGACGTCACATATCATTGATGACGTCTCGAACGGATGACGTTGCGTCATCAACACACAACATCGACTTCAGAGACATAGTTTTGACATTGTACACGTCTTTCTGCAGGTTTCATTCACTTTTTTATAATTGACAGGGTACATTTGAATGGATACAGGCCCCTACCGACGGTATTTAACTGACCTTTCTGTCACACGCTGTAAGGGACGAAATCCTTCCCGATCCCCTCACACTCGAACTTCCTTCCCTTCTGGTTCAACTCTGCTGGCTCAGCGATCAACGAACCCTAGGGATCCACCGCAACTATATGATAACACTGAAAACCTTTCGTTTGCAAAGGACCACTGCAGCACCTGTTACCAACTCAGCATTCTTCAACGTATAAACATTCTTTGACGTAACACTACTGTGAGACTAGGTTCTTTACAATGCTGATAAATTAACCATTTATTAACCAGCCGTTCGCAAGGTTGGTTGGTAGGTTTGTTGTTTAACGCCGCACTCAGGAATATTCCAGCTATATGACGGTGGTCTGTAAAATAATCGAGTCTGGACCAGACAATCCAGTGATTGACATCATGAGCATCAATCCAAGCAATTGGGATCGAAGACATGTATCAACCAAGTCAGCAAGCCTGAGCACCCGATCCCGTTAGTCGCCTTTTACGACAAGCATAGTCTCCGTTCGCAAGAAAATCCCACAACTTTCCGAATAAACGCCCGAATCATTGTAACTAAATGAGAGGTACTACTTTCAAGTGAGACCTTCTCGGAGGTTTTCATTTGAATCGTAAGAACTGCAAAGCGATCTTACAATTGAATTGAAGTTATTTAAGTTCGCACTTTGGTCTTTCTCTCGCGCGTTTTCGACGAATTTCTTTTATACCGCGACGCAATAAATTGTTATCCTTTCTTATGTCTTCTTATCCTTTCTGGAATTTCTTGCATTTGGACGGTTTATAGCCCCTCCCCAATATCCCAAAGTCGCAGGCTTACATTCTCAGTCAAGACCTCGGTGTCGTTTTTTATACCTTACTTCGCCCACCCCAGCTTCAAACAGACACAGCCCAGCTTCAAACACACACAGCCCAGCTTCAAACACACACAGCCCAGCTCCAAACAGACACAGCTAAGCTTCAAACACACACAGCCCAGCTTCAAACACACACAGCCCAGCTTCAAACAGACACACCCCAGCTTCGAACAGACACACCCCAGCTTGAAACAGACACAGCTCAGCTTCAAACAGACACAACCCAGCTTCAAACAGACACACCTCCGCTTCAAACCCGCACCCCTCAGCTTCAACTCTGCATCCCTCAGCTTCAAACACACACAGCCCAGCTTCAAACAGACACAATCCAGCTTCAAACAGACACACCTCAGCTTCAACCCTGCACCTCTCAGCTTCAACCCTGCACCCCTTAGCTTCAAACACACACACCTCAGCTTCAAACACACACACCTCAGCTTCAAACACACACACCTCAGCTTCAAACAGACACACCTCAGCTTCAAACAGACACACCTCAGCTTCAAACACACACAGCTCAGCTTCAAACACACACAGCTCAGCATCAAACAGACGCACCTCAGCTTCAAACCCGCACCCCTCAGATTCAAACACACACCCCTCAGCTTCAAACACACACACCTCAGCTTCAAACACAAACGTCTCAGCTTCAAACACACATCCCTCTGCTTCAACCCCGAACCCCTCAGCTTCAAACACACATACCTCAGCTTCAACCCACACCCCTCAGCTATGCAACCCGCACACCTCAGCTTCAAACACACACACACACACCTCAGCTTCAAACCCACACCCCTCAGACTTCAAACAAGCACCCCTCAGATTCAAACCCGCATCCCCAAGCTTCAACTTCGTTCCCTATGTTTTTATTTCCACGTGAATATTAGTCCCCTACTGCATTTGTCATACGAGTTCTGATTAAGTCAGTCAGATTGTATGTCTTGTTTACCACGAAACCCTCTTCTGTGTATGAATACACCAGAAGGGAAAACCAATCCCTCTCAAGCCGCCTCAGTGGTCGAGTGGTAGAGCGTCAGCCCAGAGAGCGGAAGCTCGGGGGGTCGACATCCGCCCGCGTAATACCAAAATTATTAAAAAGATGGGACTGTTTCCTCTGTTTGCACTCTCAGCACTTTCTCCTGGTAGTTTATCGAGACAATCCTCAGGCTCTTTAATTGCTCGTGCAATCTCTAGTCCAGATACCACTCATCGCAGTGGTTAGGGAAGATTTCATTAAGCAACATACTTTTCAATTAGTATCCAATCGGTTTGTTCAACCAGGTAATTATTATCCAATCAGCCTGTTCAGGATGTTATTCCTTTTTGTATATCTGGCTTCATTACCCAGACCAACGGCATGCCGTTGTATATTTACATGGAACATATATTTATACATAAATTTAGAATCAAGACTAGTAACACTGCAAACACGAAAACGTCGTTTTTTTCCGTATATGGTCATTGGACGGAAAAACGACTAAAAATTCATTAAAATTGATTAATTGGTCAGCGTCTAGAAAGTGTCCAGAAAAGGGTCGAGTTTTTCAAGCGTAAAATGGACGGGAAAACGATGCTTTTTGCTCCGCCCTGTACAACTGTTAACGGCCAATCAGATGGCGCTGGTCCCCCGACGCACGTGATGTCCAAGGCTTCCTTTCGGAAGATTTAGGTTTCGTATTTCTGGCATGCCTTGCTCTAGTATCTGTCGCGCGCAGTGCAGCGAGATTTGCTGATAAGCTAGTTGTAGGATATGTTACATGTTAATGGAATTCAGACACGCGCCAAAGAGTCAAACCAAACAATGTTACTAAGTTTATTGTGGTAACGGCTATGTACAGTTACCCCTATCGGATAATGGGTTGTGTTTCATTTGGTTATAACAATAACTAATTTTTTAATGTGAAGTTTACAAGATATACGACTTGGACGCGAGGTCGGTCACATGACGTTCTTCACGTGACTGTATTCTTGGAAAGGCGTAAACACTGACTACTTCCACATTCCTTGGGAAAACCCTTGGAATTCCCTGG